GAACATTGAATGTTATTAATGAATAAATAAGAACATTCTTCAAACTGGCCTGCTGTGCTAGATTGTACAGAAGAGGTGTTGACTATAGTTCCCAAAATTTCAATTCAGTATATCCAGTGGGCATTCTGGAATTTGTAGTCCAACGCATTTGGAAGTGGTTGCCGCAAACAGTTTCTCCATTGTATGAAAACAGGCCATTAAAATCTATTTATACATTTTTGTGCACTTCTGCTAATCTGTGAGTGAAAATGCAACTAGACAAGAGTATTGGAGTTTCCTACCAAAAATAACTAGAAAACCTAATGAGGCATTTATAGCAAATATATAGAATACAGAGAGCAAATTCACCCCCCTGTGAGCAGCCCCTTGTCCAGCAGAAGTCACTTAAACAGAATAGGGATGTGATCAGTGTAGTGAAAATATGTTTATTTTGTATTTGAAAATATTACTCTGGGGAGAGCCGGATCAAGGGACTTGGAATGCTTATTTAAATAACTTTATAAAACTGCCTAATGCATCCAACTCTGGGCAGCTTATAATAAAAACTCCTTTTTTAAAAAAATGAGAGGACCAAACCAAAATAAAAAGTACAAAAATCGTCATCCAGTGAGAATGTCTATGGAGATTCTCAGTCATCCAGGTCATGGATGAAGAAGCTTCTTGGAACCCTTTGTAGATGCATTGAAAAAGTCTAAATGTGAAGTGTTTAAGACCGTGATGGCGAACCTATGGCACACGTGCCATAGGTAGCACGTGGAGCCAATCTGTGGGCATGCGAGCGCTGCCCTAGCTCAGCTCCAGCATGCATATGCGTGCCAGCCAGCTGATTTTCGGGCCTTCTGGGTCCACCAGAAGTCGGGAACGGGCTATTTTCAGCCTCCAGAGGGCCTCCGGGGCAGTGGGAAAGGCCGTTTTTGCCCTCCCCAGGTTCCAAGAAAGCCTCTGGAGCCTGGGGAGGGTGAAAAATGGGCCTTCCAGGCCCACCAGTAACCTTTTTGTTGTTGTGTGCAAAAAACAGGGGAAGCATAGGGGATGTCGTGTGCATATGTGTGTGGGGGGGGCACGGGGGCAGTGAATTATGGTATGGGCACGCACGTGCATGACCCCCCCCCCCCTGCCCCCCCAGCTTTTGGCACACAACTGCAAAAGTGTTAGCCATCACTGGTTTAAGGTATGAGTGACTGAGAGAAGGGATTCCCAGTCCAGGAGGGACAAAACTGGTGCAATAGGTGAATCTAGATTAAGGCCTTCCTGGTCACAGCTGTCACTTGCTCTTTGAACAGGAGCAGGTAATCAAGGAGAACTCTAAAATTGCATATCAGGTCTGTGCAACACCACCCAGAACTAAAGACAGGATATGTCTGATCCTGGGAGAGCTAAAAATCCATAGCTTCTCCATCGTGTAAAGTCAAATTAAAACCTGTCCCTTTATGTCTAAATCTTCAAAGTCTCAAAGCACTGGGACATGACATCATCAACATTACTTGGCCAGCTCACGGTTGAGATGTATGACTGAGTATCAGCAGCATACCAAAGAAACAGACTGTCAGCATTGGAGTAAGTGCTCCAGACATTGTGCTGGCTAGTTTCAAGCCCTAGTGCACCCCATGAGTAAAGGTCAAAGGCTTGACTTCTCCCTCTCCCCAAACCACTAACACCAAGTGGAATTTACTTAAGAGAAAGGAAAGCCACCCCAACCCTACTCCTGGTTCCTACTCTTTATCCCCCAAAATCCCAGTCAATGGTACTGAAAGCAGCTGAGATATCAAGGAAATCCAGATCTCATCACCCCCTACACCACAATGTCCTTAAAAATTGTCCATAAGTACAATCAGATATTGTAGTACACAACATCTGTGTACTATGTTCCAGCCCGAAAACTTACTGAACTGAAGATAAGCTTTCTTCAGTTCATATAGACCAAGCTACCTGGCTCCCAAATGATTTTCCCCATTCCTTGCCAGTCAAACTCAAATGAACTCATTGGTCTCTTCCACATGACCAAATCAGTGTAATATTGACCTCCTTGAGCCAAGAGAAAAAAATGCTGGCATGAATTGTGTTACCCTTAGTTCCAATCCCTGTTGCCACATAACATTAACAAGGTCAATGAACAGTTATAACTATTGCAAAGGATTAATAGATTCCACTGGACTCATTTTTCCTCCCACCATGCATTCCATCTGCAGGAAAATAAACAGCAATCCCTAACATAGATTGGGCAAATTTGGGAAGATGCATCAAGTGGTAACAAGGACAGAGATTAACAAGGACAGAGAACACAGGATGAAGCAGAAATGATGCAACTTTAGTCCCATGTCTCTTAACTATTAGGCTATTTCTGAATATGGGTATAGCAATTTTCTGAAAGAATGTTAAATAGCCTGACCCACAAATAACAGGTGTAGAGAGTGCGTAGGATGCATCAGGAAGGAACAATCAATGAAAAGCTAGTCATCCATCATCACCAAGGGAAGGGTGGTGCTGTTAACAAGTGACAATCAATGATGTCCACTTCCCCTTCACTAGAGGGAGAGAGGGGGAGGGGGAGAGGGAGAGGGCAGGAGGGAGGGAGGGAGAGAAAGAGAGGTGAGAGAAAGAGACTGCATCTGCATTTTGCTGATTCTGAGACAGCAATCCTAACAATTTTCAGCACTCTAGCTGCCTCCTCAGAGATAATTAACAATAATACAAGGATTAAAAAGAGCGGCCATAAAAATCCCTTTGTTGGCAGAAGCAACAGAAAACCTGAAATGAATCCAATGATGACAGAACTAGTAGCATACAATGGGCACCATCCAACTTTCTTTCTTAATTTAAAGTGATATTCTGGTAGTACAAGCCTAGCATTCTTTCAAAGCAACAATAACCCTGTGTTTAAAAAAAAAAAAACGGTTCAAAGCACTAAAGATTTGTTTATAAAGGACTCACATAAATCCTGACAAGGGTTATGGAAGGCAATGAGCAGGCATGACATGGGCAAAGGCCTATGTGGAATCCAACTGTTGGCCTCTCTTGCTGTACGGTAAAGGGCTGTGTAAAAATAGCCTTGGGTAAATGGGAGGAAGAGCCTCAGCCTAGAAAACAGTCTGATAAGAGAAATCTGAATCCAAAAGAGGGATGGGTGTGGAAACATCATTTCAGATGTTTCAGGTACCCTCCCTAGTTTTCTGGACAGTAAAAATAAGTGAGGGGTGTGTGTGCTTTCAGGGTTGCAAGATTCTGTCAAGGTAACTTTACAATAAAGGTAGTGTTAATACTAGTACTTCTTCTCCGGACTACCTCAAAGGGCTGACATCTGCAATTTCACATCAGAGGCCAGCAAGAATTGTGCCAAGCAACCAGATCGAGGGGGTCATGCCTGAAGGTGTAGCAGACAGATTCCAAACTTTAACAGTATCATCTACCAAATGATGTAAAATATGCCAGAACATATCTGTAGAACAAGAAGTAAAACATGACTTGAAAATCAGAAGAGCTAAAAACAACTTCAAGCTTCTTTACACATGGACTGGGTATGAGACGAAAACCATTTTAGAAATAGTGACTGTATGTGTGTGTTTATGTATGTGTGTTTGAGAGAGATTTAATCTATAATGTTGTCACTTTTTTTCTTCCTGGTTTTATTATATACGATCACTGATTCTGACTGTGGATAGTTTGGAAACATACTAAATAAATACATGGTGAGGATGACTAGGGGAGAAATGTAAATCTCTCCTTCCTGGCTCCTCTCTGTGACTTTTTATACACACGTGTATTTAATCTTCCCAAAGGCATTATGTCCCTTCCCTTTTGTTCACTTCCATGACTTGATGTAGCACCAACTAGGAAAGTGAAGTAGAAGGGAAGTGAATAGGTAGATGAAATGGATGTTTTGGATTGAAATCTGAATACAAGAAGAATTTGGAAGGCCAAGACATAGAGTGCATTTCTGCAAGCAACATAAACCACTGGGATTTCTATTTCCAGTCCCATAAACTTGGTGTATGTATTGCATGGTTTTGGCTTTAATTGTTCTGTGAACCTAACCAATTGTGGTTAATTCTGTCAATTGTTACTCGGGAGATTAAACCCTAATATATTTTGAATAAAACTAAAGGAACTTAAAGGTTATGTCCATACTTGCTGTAGAGTAGAATGTACTATTTTCATATCTGTCTGCAAAAATAGAGATAATAACTGTATTAATTACTGTCCTCCACCAGGCCCCAGCCCAAATCTGGACAAGCCAATCCTGTATTTTTTAAAAAACCTTCATGGCTAAGGGGGGGGGAGTCAGTTTGGAAATGGAAACTTATCCAGAGCTGCTCCAATAGTTATAAAACTAGAATTAGAATAATGTAGAAAAAAGCTAGCAACCTCCTTTAGAGGATGGTAATTTCCCACCCTGCCATCTATGCATATCTCTGGGTGGGGCAGCATTCTAGTTTGAATGATGGAGCTAGGCTTAGAGTCTTTTCCAAGCCTTCAGGTTTGAGTTGGTTATTGTATATTATCAAATTTGGGACAGGAAAAACCAGATATAGATTTTACTTGGAAACAAACTTAAACTGTTTGTTATATTTTATATAACAAACAGGTTATATTTTAACCTGTTATATTTTAAATATCATGTTTGAAAGGCAGGCTTTTGTTTCCAAAGGTAAAAATATCCCCACCCCCTTCAATATAGGAAAGCAATTGTCGGCACACACCGACCAGAACGTAAGGGCCACTGAACTCAAAACAAGCTTTCTTTTGAGAACCGTAGTGTATGAAAGCATAAAATTGCACCGTGCCTCAAGTTGTCCTGGAAAGCAGAGGGGAAAGTAACGCTTGAGCGGTTTTTCATTAAGTTTTGAACTTCCCTTTCGCAGCCAGAAAACGCGAAGTAAAGAAACCTTCCTCGTTTTCTTTTAACCGGGTGGGGGGGGGGGGGTGGAAGGGAGCGGAAAATCAGCAGCCCATTCAAAACGCTCGGCAGCTGAACCGTGGAGCGGTGGGTCTTCCCAACTTACCGCAGACTCCGGCGGCGACCAGAAGCAGGCTAAAGACCAGAAGCGCAGGGGAGGCAAATTTGCCCATCCTGGTCTCAACTTAATAAAACTGCGAAGCGGAGCGGAGCAGTCTGTTCCCGAAAGATCCGCCCCGAAGATCCGCCAACTTCTAGCAAGCCGTGTCACCGAGATCCGAAAACCGGGCAGACGCGGCCAGAGAGAGGAAACAACTGTCAGATGGGAGTCACGGAATGCCCCGCCGGTCGCCGAGGTCGCAGCTTCGTAGGATCCTTTTCTCCACCCCTCCCAGAAAGACCGGGGGAGGGGGGGGGCTTGGCAGGGGAGGAGACGACCTCTGCCAGCCACTGCTCTACACCCTTTATCCCTGGCAAAGATTTCCTTCCCCAGTGCCTAAATTATTGGCCACCCTTTTGTTTTTTTTTCCCTTTTTAGTGGCGGAATGAACCCTGAACCTCCCTAATTCCTCCTGCGTCTAATTCTCTTACTGTAGTCCACTACAGTAAGAGAATTAGATTCACGCAGTTTACTGTAAGAAAACTGCGTGAATCAAACGTGAGAAAGACCCCCCCCTCCTTTTAACCTACTTGACCCTCTGGGTTTAATGACAAATTTAAAGAAACAGCAGCAATCATCCCATTCAAACTGGCGCCAATTCCTAACCACAAACTATTTATTTACTTCCTCCTCCTCCTCCTCTCCTCCTCCTCCTCCTCCTCCTTCTTTTTAAGGATTGGCATCATCTCCCATCATCCCTTACAAATGTACAAATGTCAAAAATCTCATAGAAGTATGTAATCCTTGGAGAAATATTTACATAAATGCTGTTCTTTGAAGCTGGTTTTAGATGGGTTATTTTGTATATAAACCTAGAGTTTTGCACAACTCTCTCAAAATTTTTAATTTATCGAAGAATTTGTATAGCAATCATTGCTCTAGAGATGATTACAGAACAAGAAGTATTATACAAATTCAGAGATTTGAGATAATTGAATAAGGTTTAATTCTTTACAAAGCGTAGAATAAGGTCATATATATAACATAACATGCTTTAAAAATTGCATTCTGCAGCTCTAATTTAGAAAAACCGAATATCAATATAAATCATATAAATCAATATAAATCATATAAACTAAATCAAATATAAACCAATTATACAATTTTATTGCCTTCTTCTGGTTTTGTTAAATATGGGAAACAATTGGTCCCTTATCCCCTCCTTCTGATATTTCACAACTTTCCTCACAACTTTCCAAGTCAAGGCAAAGGGACTAGATGTTAACCAAGACTGAAGAAATTTAACTTGGAACTTAGACAAGGGAGTGTGGGAGGGGGCTACTATTTCATTATTTTGTGGATGATGCCCTGAATATTTTTAGCCTACAAGCATATTCATCTGAATGCCTTATCTCTGGAAAACAGAATGCAAGTAAAAAATTCCTGATGCTTGCTACCTACTTAATTAAATAAGATATACTCAACCACTATCAAAAGAAGGCATAATGGGATGGGAAAATGGTATGTCTGGAATCTCTTGGTAAAGGGCTTCAAAACAGACTGAATGCACTTGAGCTTCTTTAAAGTACATGCGGATGTGTTTCTCAGTCACATGTAGCCTGCCTTGATCTCATTTGGTCTCTGTTGTCTTGCTGCCCTCTTGCGTGCAAAACTAAAATCCTCAGAGTCAGGCAAAGCCATTTTCCTAGCTTCTTTTTAAACACGCAGCTGATACTGAGGAAAATTGATTTGAATGTGGGGGTTCTAACACTTCCAGTTCTAATTCCTAACCTGAACATGTTGGCAGCTATTCCAAAATCATATCACTTGATTGCTTATAGTGGACCAAGCTCCAAGCAATAAAAGTTTTTTTTTTAATTCAACCTGTTTACACTCTTGTAAGTATCTCTATACTCTACTACTATACTCTTGTATAGTATAGTATCTTTGGCAACAAGTTCCATCGAAGGGCTTCAAAATAGGAGTCTCCTTGGGAATGGAAGGGCTGCTTGAGAGTTTCCGTTCTGCTTGTGAGAGGGACCATTTGGAATACAGCTGAGCCTTAAGTGGGTTCTGACTATGGAGACATGCATGAGAATTTCTGTTACGGACTCAGGGAGGAGCTAAACAAATAAACTTATTGAAGGACTATAGATTTTGGATATGACTCCTTCCTTGAGGGCATTTGTTTCTTTAGAACTTCTTTTCTGTCTCAGCATCCTGTAAAAAGTGAAGCTAAGACCATTGCCTGTTGGCCCAACAAGATTCTCACCTCTCCATTTTTTAACATAATCTTCAACGATACATTCTAAATGTGTCCACGCCAGCATTACATACATTGGAATACACTTTCCATTGTAATTACCCAGTGATTTGTCCATGCAGAATGAGGTTTGAATGAAATTTAGTCCAATGTATTGGGGATTCACCAGATGAGAAAAGATTGGTCTTTAGCTGCTTTAAAAAAAAAAAAAAAGATTTCAGGATTATTTCAACTAATCCCAGAAGCTCTCAAGGATCACTTTCTCCCACTTACAATACTGAATTATGAGGTCGTCTTTAGAGGAGCTGTTGCAGATGTCTCAGCAAATGAAGGGTGGGGACACAATTATTAGAAGCAAAGTCGTGTTAGTGGTGACATAATCATTGTAGTATTCCTTTCCTATAAGATGCTTTCCTGCAGCATTCATGCTAGGCACTTTGGCACTAAAATTTGATTTAAAAACAGTTTTAAAACATCAATATATACTCTTCTGAACACTATGTGTCTACCTGGTCACTGCTTTAATTTTACTAAGAACTATTTATGCAAAAAAAAAAAACATTTATGTCCCACATTATTTTATAATATTAAGAATTTTACATTGCAATAATGTAAGAAGAATTCTGTGGATCCTGGATCAGATCACAAACAATCTATTCTGTTTCTATAATGGTCGTATTTGTCTCTGGGAAGCCCAAGAGCAACATATAAATATGACCGCACACAGCCTGATTCCTCTTCTGCAACTATAGGTCTACCAGAATATTATTCTGATTTAGTCATATTAATCAGTTGTGCTATTATAGTACAATTGTTGTATCCTCTAGGGTAAAAATAGTCCAGAAAATAATTTTATTAGGTAGCTTTCCATAAACATAATAGATAAATAAAACAAAAATGATCACCTAAACAGGTAATGCTAGCTTAGGAAAAGTACCTAAACCTCATTCTAACCAGAAGCACAATTGGGGGGGAAACATATTTTATGATGCATAAGAAATGAGGGTAAGCTCTTTGCATACTGTATTTATAATCTACAGTGAATTTTGATACAAGAATTCTCAAATTAGCTTTCCACCCTTTCCAGTCTCACAGCAAGGAAAAATGCTTGCATCTATCCATTAGAGATTATACTAATAAGGTATACTGAAACTAGACAGGGCTATGAAAAATGATGTATTTTTTGAAAGACTGGAAAAAGGCTGATCAGGTGATCATTGATCACCGTCAACACAGAGTCTGAGAAAGAAACTTCTCAGGTTTAAAGCCTATATAGGGTCTTTCCCTTTAAAACTGTAAGGAGAGTTATTCTTTGCTAATCTCAGGGAGAACAGTTGTCAACTGGAGTTGCAGCTGATAAGCTTAGTGATTAGATACAGCGAAAGAATGGATTTACACACAGCACCTCAGGAGCTCTTTGGAGAAAAGATTTCTATGTGTTTGGTAATGCTAGTGCATCATATCAGCACATGAACTCTTTGTACTGAACTGGTTTTCTTCTGATAGAGAAGGACTGTTAGCAGACTGGCAGCTCTCTGCCTGTAGTGGTGGATGAAGGTGGTGCTTAGGATCAGTTCTGGGTGGAGTTTTTTTTCTGCAAGTTGTTTTTATCATGCTGCTTAGAGACTTTACTGTACAATGCAATATGCATCTCCAGAGATTCCAGCCTGTTTGACAGCACAACAGCTGCTTAGAAATCTGACGTTTGGAATTGCCCTGTTTCTCTTAAAGATTGGATGGCATGGTGTTGGTGGAACTGTTTCCTTGTCCTTTTACAGCTGTCTACCTTGTGCTGACAGTGCCTTTGTGCAAGAAGATCAAGAAGCAGGAGACAGCCTAGCTGACTACTGAAGAGTGCTTATATCATTTAGGGTCACTCAGCAAAAGAAAGCTCACTGTTCTCATTTTTCTGGAACTTCCATTGGCTTGAAATACAGAATGAATGGGACCTTATTTAACCAAACACTGTTAGAAGAAGGTATGTTTTCCAATCGATCCCAAGATCTGGGAATTCTGATTGGCTGCTGCAATGGGACAGGAACAGTGGTGGCCAGCGATGGAGGGGCGTCTGTCCTGCTCCCAGATGAAAGGAACCTCTTCATCAACCGAGTGGTCCAGATTGCTGTTCTTTGTGTCCTCTCATTGACTGTCATCTTTGGGGTGTTCTTTTTAGGCTGCAACCTACTCATCAAATCAGAAAGCATGATCAACTTTTTGGTCAAAGACCGCCGGCCATCCAAAGATGTTGGCATTGCAATCATGGGACTCTACTGAGCAAAGATTGTGGAGCATTTCTCAGTGGGTGACTCAAGTAATAGCTTTCTCACTGCAAGTATAGGATGTGAATATTGTTGTGGCTAGAGGAAGGGGAACCTGGGATGGCATGTTGCTAGATGGAGTTACAAAAAAAGAAAGGGGGGGTGGGAGGGAGGGAAAAGGGAGGAGACGGAAAGTAAAAAAAAATCTCTGTGTATTACAGATGTAAGAGAGGAGGAGAAAGAAATATTCTTATAGCAAGTTTTGTGCAAATTTTAAATTTCTGCCTGTAGAAATGTCATATTGTTTGCATGACTAGTCTATGTATTAAGATAAGTAAATGAAGATGTCCAAGTCTTTTACATTGTTTCCCTTGGACATAAACTTATAAGGACATAAGTGACTGGACATAAGCTTTTGTTATATGAGCTGGACATTCATATCTAAATACAAAATTTAAAGTCAAGACTGTTCAAGACAAAGACACTCTAAGTTCCTCAAAGTGATAAGTAATGTGATGTTTTGTTTTGTCTGCTCAGTGGGTGCTTTCAGGGAAAGCTTTTACTGAACCAACATACAGTCTCATTTATGGAAATCATAGGAGGGTTCAAATATTGTTTTCTTTTAAATGTAACCCACCTCTTATCTTCATTTTTCTTATCTCAGAAATCTACAAGTGACATTATTGCCTTTGATCAATAATGCTAGGAACTGCATGTTTGGAAGCATCCATGGTCAAAGCATGTGTTTTTAAAAATATTATGGTACAAGATCTTTTTCAGATACAATGTGATGTTAGTCCCTTGCAATAAGGAAAAGCTGGTTGTGGGGATATTTAGTATACAAAAATATGTGTTTTTAAAAGCAGCTGGTTTTTTGGTATTTTACCCTTTCAAAAATTTAGTATTTATTGCCCTAATGAACTTTTAAAAAAGGTTTTCCTCTGCTTTTTAAAAAGAAACATGAGGAGATAGCTCAGTTAGCAGGC